TGATAGTACACTCAATTCCCTCATCTAAATCATTGATGAATATATTAAATAATATTGGTCCCAGTACCGACCCTTGAGGCACTCCACTAGGTACAGGCCTCCAACTAGACTCCGCCCCACAGACTACAACTCTCTGGCTTCTCTCCTTCAGCCAGTTCACAGTCCACCTCACTACCCGATCATCCAGACCACACTTCCTCAATTTAGCTGCGAGGATGCTGTGGGAGACTGTGTCAAACGCTTTGCTGAAGTCAAGGTAGACCACAATAGGATACCCGATAACCATTCAGTCACAGAAAATGTAATAATTGCACTGTCCACTGGAGACATTCTTCCTTGGTTTCTGTAGCAGTTAACAGGTCACGCACATGTTGTAACAGAGTCCCCGTCTGAGCAGGTGGCTGCCATGATTCTAGTTCTCATGCTAGCTGATTTCCAGAAATTGCTGGACTGTTTTAAACCCCTGTGGTAATACTGTCCGAGTTAATTGAAATTCACTTCCTGTGTCAGGATTTTCCCGTTCAAAAGCAAATAACTTTGGCTTTCTTTGGACAATGGGAAGCAAAAGAAAGCGTCCTTTAAATCCAGGACAGCAAACCATTTCTGATTATTATTCAATTTAGTCAATAAGTCATACGAAGTAGCTACTACTGGACGAATATCCTCTGCAATTTTGTTGATTACTCTGAGATCTTGAACCAAGCTGCAACTTTTCCCATCATATTTCTTTGCTGTCCAGATAGGAGTGTTATATTCCAATTCACATTCAATTAATAATCTATATTTTAATATTTATCAATGATTTTTTATTCCCTTTGATCTTCTAATTTTAAGGGATACTGTTTTATTGTGATTGGGCAGGCCCCCCTTTTTATTTCCACTTTAACAGGCAAAGCATTTTTTGCCTTACCTGGAACTTCAGATGCCCATACTCCCACATATACCTGATTAAGGGTTTCTTCTATTTCAGGGAGGTCCTCCTTTTTGCTTTTCTGTTGAATTAGAGATAAACTCAAAACTGCAATTAATTGATTGATTGTTTTTAACTCTAAATTCCATTTTGCCTTCTTTAAGTGTTGCTTCTCATCCTAATAAAGATTTTAGAGAATTTGGCATGCATAAAAATTTACGCATTCCAATTTGTTTTCCCAATTTGTATTTTAACGGTTTCAGAAAGAATGCCTCTCTTTTTTTTTTTTTCCCCTCTCTTTTTCTTGGTGGCCACTAGCTCCCACATCTGTAACGAATTCTTTTCTCTCTGATTTAACACCGAATAAGTTGCTCCTGTATCCACTAAAATTCCACTTTATTTCCTCTAGTCCCTAGTTTTAATGTAACCGGTGGATCTGCTAGGGTAGATTCCCCACGTCCCCATCAGTTTACTTCCAGTTCAGTTCTAGTTCAGTCACCGGAGCCACCCCATGGCACTGCCCCCCCCCCCCACAGGGCAGCCTCACTTCCAGCGTCCAATCCCCCCATAGCACACACACCGATCTGGTCCCACAGAAGAGGACCCCACTCCCCCACCTCCACCCAACATCCCTCCTCCCATGCTCAAACACTGGAGCTGCTCGAGCTCCCCCCCATTCCCCCTTGGTTTTCCCTTTTTTTCCCCTTTTCCTCACAGCGGCTCCCCCTGCTCTGCAGGGCCTGCAGGTGCCTGCCTCTGCAACAGCGCTTCTGGTTTAACCCCTTCTTAACTCTGAAGGTGGATGTGCCGCTGGTTGCCAGTGACAGCAATCTCTTCCTCCTTATCAATATCAGAGAGGACAGATGCAGAGGCTGCTCCTCTCTGAGGCACCTGTGGTACGTGACTTTCCACCCTATCTCCTGATTACTGTTTTTTAACTTTAAACATCCTTCCCCAATATCACAAGGTGAGCATCTCCAGCTTAACTTACAGTTTTTCCCTGTCCTTTTCCAAAGCCAAAATTAAGGAATCTGGCGGAGCTATATTAATTTTGCATTCAGTCTGTCACTCTGGGTAATTTCTTAAAGTGAAAAACATATCTGCATACATTACTTCATCCCATTTTCCTTGCCCCCTCAAAACAACATCAACTGTAACACTTGAGACAAAGACTTAAATTCAACCAAACAACAGTTAATAACACAGTTACAACATACTGTCACCAGTACCAACATCACAAGACCAAAATCATTACTGTAACAAGCCACAAAATAAGATGAATAACATTAGTAGGCAGGTTTCCTTGAACCCTTTATAGTTGACCAGCCTGTCAGTGTCCCAAGAAGGATGAGACCCTTGTGTCCGACCAGCCTGTCTGCGTCCCACTGTGGGAACCATACTGGACAGCCAGCTCTATTGGAGGGTGATTCTACTAACCTATTCAGGGACCCACACTGACGGCATCACTGAATCAAATCCCTTATGGGCTGCTGATAGCACACTGGACCCAAAACCATTTCCACAAGACACCCCCCTGTGTCTTGTAGGACCCAAACCACAAGATGCCCCCTGCTTAGTTATAACAGTCTGTCACTGATACCAAAATCCCAAGAACAAAATCCTTAATATAACAAGCCACAAAATAAATCAAATACCAGTAAAATCCAAAACCTTTTCTGCAAGACACCCCCACATCATTTTCCAGAGAGTTTCCCACATGCATACAGAATTGTGGTGCTGGCCTCTGAGGGTCGCTTACTTCTTCCAACAATCTTCATCACTTCTGGCAGCCTTTGAAGCACGCGCAGTAGATGCTCATACCAGTTTAATTGCTTCGTTAGCACCAGAGACATAATAATCCTCCCATCCTCCTACTTATCAGTTAGCTCAACTGTAGCCCATCCTGGACACCTGCAGTTCCCAGATACCCCTTATCCCTGGGTCCTGTTTTTCTAGGCTGTTTTTTCTTAAAGCTGTGTCAACCATAACGATTTATCTTGTGAGAATTCTCAGTATGTTCTCTAGCTGCACTCTCTCTATATATTTTTCTCTATGTATCCTGCACCTCAGTAATTTTCCATTGCTACTGTTACAAAGCCATCAAACTTAACATTACTTAAAGCTACTTCTAAAGATTTCTATATCCCATCTTGTAATTTTGTCGTCCCCCCCCCTTTCTCAACTTGTCTTGAAGACCCTTAGTGACTAACCTGTAATTGGTTAAGCACAGGTGTGAGAACTTGACCTCCAAGCTTGCCAACAGCCCACAGTTCTCATAACTCAGTGAATTCCAGCTTCTCCTTCTATCTTGCTTGCTTAAGCTTCCTCGGGCCTCTCATGGCCTTGCTGTATCTTTTGGGATTATTCAGATTTCATGTACCAAATATCCATTCTCCTGTGAGAGCACTGTCTCCACACAAGTTGTACTTGTAGAAATTTGATCTATCTTATCTGTTCTGCCTGAGAAACTAAAATAGCATAATAGCTCCCAGATGCAGAAAATCCACATGTTTTCAGGAGCTTAGAAGGACGTGCTATGGGTATGGCACTGGTAAGCGATCCGAACCAGAATACCTTGGACATCCTGGAGCACGACATGGGTATGTACTCAGCAGTGTTGTGCTTCTGTGGCTGAGAGTACCGCAGGGCTCTGATCAAGGACTCTGTGGGTCTCATGCTCTGCTAGGGAGGGAGGGAGGCTGGGAGGAAGCAGGGCCAGGACACCTGACCCAAACTGACCAAAGAGGAATTCCATACCCCAGCACGTCCTGCCCAGGGAGGTAACGGGGAGGTACCCGGAAGGGCACTCTCTTCTCCGTCGGGCTCATTTCAGCAGGTGGTATCGTATTCTCTTCCCTTGTTATTTCCCTTACCATTATTATCATTGGTGGCAGCAGCACTGGTTTGTGTTGTACCTCAGTTGCTGGACTGCTCTTATCCCAACCCGTGGGAGTTACATTCTTCCGATTCTCCGCCCTACCCCTCCAGGAGCGGGGGGAAGGAGCGAAGGGCTGCGTGGGACTGAATTACTGGCTGGGCTTAAACCATGACAACTTGTCAGGTGCAGAGGGCCTGCGGAGCTAGGTCCTTAGTCAGAGGCTTCCTCTCGGAAGCTCACTGCTGCAGCAGTCTGGGGGCTCTTGGCTGTGCAAGGTTGGGTGAAATGTCTTCAGTAACGCTTTGGAAGGCCCTGCTGTTGCCGAGGCTGAGTTTTGCTGAGGGACAGTGAAATGGAGATTCATGAACCGCTTTATCCAATTTAAAATGCTTTCTCTTGCCCCCAGGGTAATCTCTGTGTTTAAATCTTTCCTAGGAAAGTTTAGGGGCATAATTCCTGTGTTTGGCACGTGGACCTGGCCTCAGTGTGGAGATCTCTACATGCATGGCCAGACTGGGGAGATTCCTTGGGTATACAAACCCTTCCCAGCTTGTCTTTCAAATGGCCATCTCTTCATGCAGGCTTGATGAAGCACTGGAGATGTCCGTGTTGGTATTTAGCTTGTCACTGGCTATTAGCACTAACATGCCATGTATAAATCTGCAAAGGAGATGCTGAGTAAGAGCCTCAGAGGGTATTTGACAACCCTCTATTTCTTTGTTTTCAATGTTCAACCCCCTTAGCACAACAGGATGGCTGCAGGTTAAAGATCCCGCATTACAGAAAGTTGATCTCAGCTGATGTACAAGCTTGGTGCTGGGAAGGCTATTTCCTTCAAAGTCTTTTTCTGCAACTCTCTAGTAGCGGGAGCTTGATGGTATTGACCAACAAACAACTGTATGTGCTTGCATTTCTTGTCCCCTTTGTAGGTGAGCAAGAGCATCTGGTGAGCATCAAAATAGATATCAGTATTGAGTGTGCCTGGTTCTTGCCCATGTCAACAAGAGCGTAGCTCCCTGTGCGGCTGTTTCCTGACTAATGACCTGACCTTTCCAAAGGGACATGTCTAGGCAGCAACAGGCTGCTCTTGCTCCGTTGCTGCGGTTACAGCCCGGCAACAGTTCCCAGGGCATAGGGAGCTCAGCTCCATGTTGTGCTTACAGCCCTGCGAGGACAATTATGACGTCATAGGTTGCTCAGCTCCTATGGCCACAGCTCTGTGAGGGTTGCAGCAGGCAGCAGAACTGCAGTGGCTGCTGCGTGCACAGTGGGGCTGGAGAGGCGAGGCAGGAGCACCGGCATCATGCTGGGCCAGAAGCCAAAGCTCAGCAAGCGCATCCGTGAGCTGCGTGCCAGCATAGCCTTGCAAGGTGCTGCCCCGTTGGCTTTGCATTATGGAGTGGGCCAAGTAGGGGGCTTTTGGTCCCCGCATCATCCTGCATGGTACCAACAGCTTCTCAATGTCCTGCAGGGCAAGCAAGGAAGTTTTACAGCAAGTCAGAGGAAGGAAAGTTCAATGAGAACCGAGAGCTGCTGCCCCAGCTGCGAGAGGCGGTGCAGGAGGATATCCATGCCCTGGGCCTTGTCCACAAGGTACCAGCAGGTCCCATTTGCTGTGTCCGTGACTGTGACTCTGCTGGACCTGCAGAGCTAGCTTCTCCACTGGTCCTCTCCAGGAGCAGGAAGTGCAGGGCAGCAGGAGGCTGGGACCATCCCCAGGCTGGCATTGATGTGTTCTCTGCCCTTCTTCTGCCCACAGCACAAGCTCACCATCTCTGAGGCTTGTGGAGCGGAGCAGCCCTTGGGCATTGCTTTGGCCAGTAAGACCTTGGAGGTAAGAGCAGAGTCCAGCGGGCCCAGGCTGCTGGCAGTGGGCTGGGGTTGAGGGGATGCTCAGAAGGACCGGTTGTAGGGAACAGGGACCTGGTGCCAGCACCAGGACAGCCCCCAGGGCTGGTGCAGTGAGACACGGGGTGTTCAGGAGTGCTCCCGTGGGACCCTTTGCACTGCAGGACCCATCAGTGTCCTCCATTAGCTCCCTGAGCAGGTCCTTTGCCCCAGCAGAGCTCCTGTCCTGCCAGGGAGTGACCAGGTCCCAGCATCCCCAGCTCTACCTCTCCCATCCAGGTGGCCCAGGAGAAGCTCCGGGCTGAAGTCTATGACAGGGTGAACAAATGCAACATGCTGCTGTACCAGATGGAGCAGCGGAGCCGGGCCAAGGAGCAGCTGCAGAGGCGGCTGCAGCAGCTGCAGGATGTCCGGGTGGCTGACAAGCAGCACCAGGTACAGGTCCCAGAGCCCCTTCCTAGGGTGGCAGCACCCGTGGGGGGTTTCAGCCAGCCCTGCCCCCCTGGCTGGGCACTGGTCTCAGTCCATGGGCTCACCCCTTGTCTCCAACCATCTCTGCCCCAGGTGATTCGTGCGCTGCAGAACAGCATAGACAAGATGCACACAAAAATCCACGCTGGGCAGAAGGTGGCTGCCCTGTACGTGGTGGTGCGGGATGCCCTGAGGAAGGTGAGCTCATCCTCACCGTGCCGTTGTCTCACCCGCTCCCCCTGCAAAGGCACTGAAGTGCCCAAGGGGCTGTGCTGGTGGGACACCCTCCTGCGGGAGGTCCTCCTGCTCCCCTCCATCTTCTGTCCCAGCACAGGGCACCCCTGGGACTCAGTGGGCTGTGGCTCCCTGTGTCCCAGGAGCTGGCCCACCTGCCTCTGCACCTGGACCTCCTGAGTGAGATGGCCGAGCTGCAGCATGGGGAGGTGGAAGACATGGAGCTCATGGCCTTGGATGGGCTCCGAGCTGCTCGTGTAACCAAGGTGAGATGGTCCAGGGCACCTCAGGGTGCTTTCCTGCTCCCCAGAGCACACAGATGGCACCAGATGTCCGTGCTGCCGAGTCTTCCTTCAAGAAAAATAAAGACTGAGCTTGGCTTCCCCGCAGCACCCAGATGCCTCCATAGCTCCTCCTGTGTCTGGCTCTTGGGCCTGGCTGCCCTGAGTTGGGGACAGCTGCCGGAAGCCGTGGCCATGGGGAAGGTGGCATTCTCCATTCTCTAGCTGTCCTTGCTCGGTTTCCTTCCCAGGCTGTTTACACGGGGTAGGGGGTGGCATTTTTGATGCTGGCCGTGCCAGGCTCAGAAGCTCACAGAGCTCCATTGGAGCTTTGGGAGCCACTTCTCTTCTGCTCTGCTCTGCTCCAGGAGCACATGGCCAGGACGAAAACCCAGCTCCTTGCAGAGAGAGAGCTCAGGCTCCGCACCCTGGCTGCTCAGAAGGAGCCCATGGACAGAAGCTGGCGCAAGGAAGCAGAAGAAAGGCTTCTGAAAGGGGTGAGCTGGGGGGACCTGGCACAGGCAGGGCTGCAGGCATAGGGCGGGCATCAGTGCCCAGCCTGCCATGGGTGAGGGGCTGCAGGGCCGGCTCCCCCAGGGTGCCAGCAGCTCAGGGGTGACGATGAACATCCTTGCAGCAAGCCAGGCGTGACCTCACCAGGGACTTCCTGGGCCTGCCCGCAGAGGACCCACCGGTGGGTGAGTGCCTGTCAGGGTGCAGGGGGGGGATGCAGGCACAGCCGCAGGCATCCTTCCCTGCCACAACCTTTCCACCGCAGCCGCCGAGCCGGAGGCCCCCAAGTCCCAGCTGGAGCGTGAGGCCTGCGTGATGGAGAAGCTGGAGAAGGCCAAGGCTGCGGTGCAGTGCTCCCGCCTCTGGGTGAGTTGAAAACCCATCTCTGGTAGAACCTGGGGCTGCTCCAGCCCCAGGGAGCTGAGCCTCGTCTGCTCACCCTGTTCCATGGCAGGGTTCTCTGCTCTCCTCTGTCCCCAGAGCCCCCCAGGGCCCCTCTTGTACAGGCAGGGATGGAACTGCTTTGCTCCACGCCATGATCTTGCAGTGGTTCCTGTGGATCCTGGTGCAGAAACCTCCCCAGGACCACGGCCCAGATCCTGTACCCTGCAGGAGTGCCCTGGGCTGAGTCCTTGTGCTCTCCCCCGGCCAGGACATCCCCATCAGGATCCTGGCACAGCAGAAGTCCCTGGCGGAACTCGAGCAGTACCTCGCAGGGCGCAAGGAGGAGAAGCAGGAGCTGCAGAAGGCACTGAAGGAGCTGGAGATGCAGCTGGAGGAGCTCAAGTTTCGCCAGCCCCCAGCCACAACCAGGTGCTGCTGGCCTCCGGACAGTCGTGCCAAAGGGGCCATCACCCTTGGGGGCAGGGGGACATGTGCATGGCAGGGGTCCCAAAAGGGCACCCCTTCCTTGGGCACCCTGCAGCTGCCCACCCCTCCTGCACTGGGAGGGTTTCTGAGCAGAGTGCTGCCCCAGCTCTGGTGCTGGCAGAGCACGCAAAGCTCCTGCGCTGGCAGCAGGAGGAGCCTTGCTCCTTGCCTGGCATGGGAAGTGGGAGCAGCAGCAGCACGGGGTTGAGGTGCAGGCAGCATCTCTGCTCTGCGCTTGGGGCAGGGGAGAAGCTGGGCAGCAGCTTTTGCAAGGGGTTTGGGGTGTCTGCACCCCTGTGCAGTTGTATGGATGTGAGCGTGCTTGGCTCCAGGGGGCTGGAGGAGGAGCTGAGGACGAGGCTGCAGTGGGAAGAGGCTCGGCTGGAGCAGAGGCGAGCCCAGCTGCTGAGGAGCCAGGAGACGCTGCTGGAGTTTGAGAACGGAGTTGACAACCTCTTCGTCCGCCTGCGGGGCATCCCCGTGCCTGGCCAGGTACCCGCACAATGCTGGGCTGAGCACAGCCCGGGCTCTGCTTGGTGGTGCAACGGCACCGTGGGGTGACCCTTGGTGCAGCAACCATCACCCCAAGGGGCTCGTTCTGCCCACCAAGGCTGTTCCCTCTCTGGCTCCAGGAGCACTCTGGCAAGGCCATGGGAGTGGACGAGAAGCTCCAGCAGTGCGAGCAGAAGCTGCAGTACCTGGTGCAGCGGGTGGCTGACCTGCCCCCCTCCAGCCTCAGCGAGGATGATGAGGTGCGCGGGGGCTCTATCCCTGCTGCGGTCTTTGGGGACCCACACAGGCTTTCCCGGGTGGCCCATCCCAAGCCATCCTCCCAGCTGGAGGATGGAGGTGCTCGAGGGAAGAGCCACGGAGCAGCTCAGGCCCAGGTGGCCCTGGGCTCTGTGGGGTGTTCCCTCCCTCCCAGGGGCACATCGAGGTTGGGCACCCCTTTGGTTGTAACACCCGCCTCCCCTTCAGCTATGAACACAGCGTCTCTTTCCCAGACTTTTGTGAAGGTCCGACAGCTCCTGGAGAAAACCCTCCTGAGCGATCCACGGAACCAGAAGGTTCCCTTGGAGGACACGGGCATGGGGGACCCAGGTAGGAAAGGGGACACATCCCACAGCAACTGCCCCAGCCCCTGCCCCCTGGGATTTCTGGGTGTCCTTGCCCACCTCCCACTGTCCCAGCAGAGCCCAACCCAGGAGCTGCTCCAGGCGTTGGGGCTGACCTCGGCTGTCTCCAGGCCTTTGAGCATAGTGCTGGTTTGATGTGTGCATGTGGCAGACTGGAGACAGATGGTGGGCTGGGGAGCGTAGAAGCACCGCAGGAGCAAGGAGGGATGCTGTGGAGCTAGCGGGGAGACCCTCGTCTTCCAAATCCCTTGGCTGGGAATATTCTTCACAGCCAGGGCTTGGCTCTGCCAGCGGCCTCCTCCTAGGGGAGCTTCTGGTACCTTACCACCTTTTCTTAACAAAGCAGGACCCAGGGCTTTATGGGGAGCCCCAGCAGGGTTGAGACAGGCCACAGCAGGTCCTGCAGGTCCCCCTGGGCTGCTGCTGTGGCACAGCCAATGGGCAGTGCCTGTCCTGAGGGTTCCCCACGGTGCCAGCAGCCCTCCCAAATGTGCCGGCTCCTCCTGGGGACACAGGCACAGCAGAGGCAGCCCCACAGACCCTCCCCAGCCCGCTCCTCTCCGCTCTCTCCTCCAGACTACTTTGATTTTGATGACGACCACAGTGGCCTTGTCCTCACCAGAGAAGCCATCAAGAGCCAAGGGCTGGAGCTGATTGAAAGCAAGAGGCAAAGCAAGAAGCAAAGCAAGAGGAAGTAGTGGTTGCTCCCCGAGAGCTGGGGATGCCTCAGACCATCTGCTGTACCCTTTTCCCCTTCGATGTAATAGAGCAGATGCTTTTCCTTCCTCCCAAGCCTGTGGTAGAGCTGAAACAGGGGCTCCCAGGTGCCTTGTCACCCAGAACACACGGGGCTCAACCTGACTGCTGCTGCTGCACCCGGCCCTGGGCGAGGCAGTGCTGGGGACGTGACGGGTGGCAAAGAGGTACAAGAGGAAGGCAGAGGAAACTAATGGCAGTACATTGGTTCCTGGGTTTAGAAAGCAACAATGAACCATGGGGTACCCCAGGAAAGCAGCGGCAGGGATCTTCCTGCCACAGTGACCCCTGAGCTCGATGGGGCATCCCTGCAGTGGGGCAGGGGAGCTGAATGAGACATGGCGGGGCACTGGCCCCACCGCACAGAGACCATGGGGCAGGAGAGCCATGTCGGGGAGTGCCAATCTGGGGCTCACCCCAAATTGTGGAAAAGGAGCTGGGGCTGCATGGGGCTCTCCAGCATAGAAAAGTATGGCTTGAACCTGCCCGAGGGGAGACTGAGCTGAGCTCTGAGGCAGAAGCTCTTCCCTGTGAGGGTGCTGAGGCGCTGGCACAGGGTGCCCAGAGAAGCTGTGGCTGCCCCATCCCTGGCAGTGCTCAAGGCCAGGTTGGACACAGGGGCTTGGAGCAAGCTGCTCCAGTGGAAGGGGTCCCTGCCCATGGCAGGGGTTGGAGCTGGAGGAGCTTTGAGGTCCCTTCCAACTCTAATTATGAGAAAACACATTATATATTCATCACACTAAGGGAAAATGGCAAAATCACCACCCAAGTGTTGAATGTTCCTAAATCAGTTTCTTTAGAACATTCAATACTTGGTGTATTTCCAGAATTGTGCAAAACAGTTTGCTTGGATCAAAGGAGAAATCTAATTTTACAGATTATTTGTTTTGGTTGAATCATGCCTTCAGTTGAACGAATCTGGGTTTGTTACTTGCGTGTGATCTGCCAGACATCACAGTGTTCTTTCTGAATTAACAGATGAAATAGGTTTGTATCAGTGAATTCAACTTCCTTCATTGCCTTGTTTGGGATTTTAAGCAGCTGATTATTAAGGCCTCCTCAGACATCCTGGAAAAGGCGTTCCACTTTCCCAACAGTTTGGCTTAACAAATCCCTCCAATTACTTCTAATAGCTTCTTTCAAGCAAGTGTCCATATCCCTCATGAGCTGCCTATGGGAATTTTGTGGATGAAGAAGAGAAGCCAAAGTCATTTGATGTGGAAAATGTAACTTTATCTCCTTCGCATGTCAGCATGGAGCGTTTCAGCAGCTTTTGATACGTGATTAGCCAGAAAACATCTGCTCCCTCTCCTGGTTCAGAGAGAGTAAGACAGCAATGGGAGGTTACTACGAACCTGCAGATACACTACCACCACCAAACTCCAGATACAGCCACAGCTACACAGCATATATGGATTTACTGTCCCCTGAAACACCTGTGTCACCACAGTCTGACTGCAATAGTATATTGATGTATTTCTTTCCTTAGCCAGAAAAACTCTGCTAGATTTAGTAAGAGAACTGATGCTTCTGCTTTGCTTAGCCCCTGTGCAGTACTGCACTGGAAAGCTCAACACCTTGACCCATCTCACATGCACTAAGAAGACTCTGACAAAACCAGCTGCTGTGAGCTTTCCTGCAGTACTGGTCAGCACAAATGGGTGCTCATGTGCAAGGGCACAGGATGAGGCATTACCCCATTGACGTGGTTTAACCCCAACCAGACAGCTTTCACTCACTCACTCCCCCCCTTTCTTGCCCTCCCCCTACTCCTGGAGGGACAGAGAGGAGAATCAGAAAGAATGCAACTCCCACGGGTTGAGATAAGAACAGTTTAGTAACTAAGGTATAACACAGATCACTACTGCTACCACCAATAATAGTAATGATAAAGGAAATAACAAGGGAAGAGAATACAACACCCCATCACCAGGCGACCGATAACTTGCCCCCCCAGCCCGACCGATACCTCCTCCAACCCTGCAGTCCACTTAGCCCTTCCAGCTAACCCCAGTTCCCCCTGGGCATGACGTGCTGTGGTAGGGAATACCTCTTGGGTCAGTTTGGGTCAGGTGTCCTGTCTCTGCTTCCTCCCGGCTTCCCCTCCTCCCTGGCAGAGCAGGAGGCTCACAAAGTCCTTGGACAAACCAAAACATCATTTTTATCAGCTCTGTTCCCAGCCCAAAAGTAAAACACAGCACTGCACCTGCTACCCAGACAGAGAAAAATGACTGCTACTGCTAGACCCAGGACACCCATTTACAAACATAATCCTAAGGCACACATTCTTCCCTGTGAGGGTGCTGAGGTGCTGGCACAGGGTGCCCAGAGAAGCTGCGGCTGCCCCATCCCTGGCACTGTTCAAGGCCGGGTTTGACACAGGGGCTTGGAGCAAGCTGCTCTAATGGAAGGGGTCCCTACCCATGGCAGAAGTCAGAGCTGGGTGAGCTTTAAGGTCTCTTCCAACCCAAACCAGTCTGGAACTCCATGATATAGCACCACAGATGACAATCAGGCAACACTGAGAAAGGCCTAAAAATCCCTCTATGGAAAAGAAATTAGTATATATGTCTGTATTTGATGGAAGCAAAAAAGATAAAGAATGAAACAAAAATTCCATCTCAAGTGGGTGGAAAAGGCCACAAAGAGGATGAGAACAAAACTCACCGAACGGGTAATAAAGTCACTTTTCGGGCAGTGGCAACAGAGCAGGTGGGTGAGGACATCCCCTGCTTGCTCCTCCCCACAGGACGCAGCCAGCCTCAGTCAACACTTGTGTTGTTACAGCTGGAGATGTTCAAATGGGTGAAAGCACTGGCAAGGCCCAGGCTGGCTGAGCTGGGTCATCCCTGCTTGCCCCACGTACACAGGAGCATGAAGCAGCACAGGTTGATCCACTCCGGTGGAACGGGTGAGTTAATGAAACCAAACACAGGGCAGGACTGCTCAGAGCTGTCAAGTTAGGATTATTTGTGGGCTATAAAGCAAGGGAGGTTAACATCTGTGGTGTTATAAAAATGGTATTTGTGGATCAGAAGCAAAGAATTGTGTGTTAGGACAACATGGGCAGTGGCTGCTAAAATTCTCCCTGAGATGGCTGTGCAGGATTGAGGCAAAAGCTTTATTGTCCAAGCATTCTTTATGTGCTTGGGAAGAACACTGGGTATCTGAATGAGACACAGGCTGCCCAAATCAATGTGCCTTAATAAGAACAATGCGTGCGTACACACAGCTCCTCCCGATCTATGCCCCTCTTCAGAGGGAAAACCCTCAATTCTATACATGAAAAGCATTAAGGAAGGGTCAGTTCACTCTCAATCAACTCAAGGGCAAGACTTCACTGTGGTCAGAGGAGCTGCGGATTTGTCAGCATAGCCCAGACTTGTTTCAAAATGGATTTATGAACAGATAGCAAAAGCTTTGCAAGAAAAATGGTCTGAAGTTGGATGGAACACCTTGAGCATGTGAACACGTTTGGTACTCAGCACCACGAGGCATTCTGCAAGTCTGATGGGTCTTTTTAATACCTCGCTTCTAATACCTTCTGTAGGCCATCAGCTGGATCTCATCACTCAGCAATTCCTTTCAGACACAAAACCCAAACAGCAACTGTGACCCTCTCAAACTCTTTGGGGGTAAAAATGATGCTCAGAGTTCCAAAGGAGATCAGATAGATCAGAAACTGTGAGGAGTTCTGGCAAAGCAGTGATGAGACCTTCCAAAATGCCTTTTATCTTGGAAAGGCAAGAATCAAAAGAGAAGAGCATCTGACAGGGCTCTTTTAGTCATGGAATTCAAATACAAAGTGCAGGTTCCAAAAGGCCCCATAAATGCATTGGAAGTTGGAAGTAATTGGCTCTCCTGTGAACCAGGAAAGAGGAGCAATAAAAACCCTACACCAAAACCATCAGGAATGACAGGCAGCTGGGAAGCTCCAGAGAGAAACTATGTGCATTTTGTCAACCAAGAACAAGTAAGACACAATCCCTAAGTAGCCCAGAAGAGCAGACACCCTCTGGGCTGCCTTATAAAGGAGCAGATGCATTTAAAATGCAAAAGAAATAAAGACAAGAACACTGTAAGAATCTACCTCAGCCTCTGCCAGAAATAAAAGGCAAATTCCTGGACTTGGACCGCACAAAATAAGGAGGAATAAAACTAACTAAAACAGAGTTTTGCAGCTGAATTTTACTAGGTTCTAAAGGGAATCTGAGCTCTTATGGTAGTGTAAATTGAACGTGATAATGTACGAAGGAAATAAGCCATCTGCTTGGAAAAGAAACAAGGGCAATTGCAATAGGCGGAAAAACACAGGCTTATTAACACGGTATTGGAATGAATATATTAGCAGATTGATTAGATGTGAACTGCTGAGATACACACCCAGATCAATGAATGCTCAGTAGAAGCAAGAAAACTGCAGACAAATATGAGAGGTCCCTCCTGTGCTGGGGCCCCAAGCTGGATGCAGGACTTGCATAGAACATAGAACGCAGAATTACTGGGAAAGAAGCCTCAAAACCATAGCTGACAAGCAGTGACAGGCAGGAGTGCCTACCTGCAGGTTTTAGTGCAGCTGCTTGCCCCAGCCATAGGGCTTCTGGCCACAGTAATCATGCTGGAGCTTCAATCAGCAGGAACAGAAGGATGGAGCAAAGCACAGTCCTTTAAAACAAACATATCCTGAGTAAGTTTACCCGAGGATACAAACGGGAGTCAGAAAAGGTGCATGTCTGCATCTATCTGTAATTTAGTTTAGATTAGAAAAAGAAAGGTAATATTTAAGTATATTGAGATCACATTTCAGCTTCAGACACTGGCGTCATGGAATATCCATTTGTGACAGAAGACAACAAAAACCTCATCAAAATACTACTGCAGTCATAATGTGTCCTCAAGGCACTACTGAAAAAGGCCTCGAGTGCCTTTGAGCCACAAGAGA